GCCTCTCAGGCAAAAGTGGAATGAGTTGGAATGGTGAGGAATTAGCAACAGACTCTGGAATAAGGAACATTTGACCAAAATACAAATATCCATATAATTTTTTTTGGAAAAAAAGGATATTCTACTGAGCCATTAGCAGTCTGCTATAATAATCATTGCCTGATTTGATTTGTGTGTCCCTGGTAGGGAAATCTGGGTTCCTTGCATTTCTTTTCTGATTTTCTTTGAGTTGTGGTGATGCTAAATAACCAAGGAAGGATAGAGTGCTATACATATGCAGTACAGGAGTTAATGTATTCTGTGAAACTCTGAGGTTCATTGAGGTTTGAAAAAGAATACATAATTCCCTGATAAACTTTGGGAAAGCTAGTGTTCAGAAAACAATTGTGCATGACTCAGCTTGTCTTGTATATTTTTGGTGGTGTGTATGCTGAAAAGAACTGTCTACAATTTTTTATTTGCTAAAATGACGTGTGTGACTTGTGGTGAGACACTAAATTATACTGAAAAATTAGGTACAACTAGGAAAGTACACAGTTTCAGAAAGAGGTAGCCCTATCGACATGACATGTGACATACTGTTTTATGGTCTTGGGGGAGTTGTTAACATCCTGTTATCATCTTCAACTTTTAGTGTAGCTTATAGGCTTTTGAAGGCAGAATTTGATCTGCACTATATGTGAGTCCCTGGAACATCAAAACCTATTAGGGCTGTGTCCTGCATCACTTCTAAAATCCTAAATCTTGAATTGGAAGTTTCTGATATTTAACATTTATATTATCTCAAAGAAGACAAGGGAGGTATACTACCTAGCTCTAGTTGTTTCTTGAGTGAGGTGATTTGGAAGGAACTATAGAAGAAATGTCATTAGCCAGAGCAGGTTGGGAGGTCATTGGTTTTGCATTGAGGCTTTGCAGGAATACAGCTAATGAGGCCAGGGCTGCCTGGATCTTTTGTTGGCTCATCTGAAGGTAGACCTGAAAATACAGATTCACATGCAAATGATTCATTTAGCAAATACTTGCAAGTGAAAGCAGCTGCAGAATGGGAAAAACTAGAACAAGACAGGGAAGAACTGAGGGGAGGATGCAAATTCAAAAGATATTTCTGAAATAGTCTGATTCCAAGAGAAACACTGCTAGTGTAAATTATATCTCTGAGCTGGTCCTGAATTGAAGATGCTGGGCATTCATGATCCTGTCACAGGCAGTCATTGACTAATGGCTCAGAGGGAGAGCTCAGAATGACAAAGGGCTGATAAACAGCACTGAACGAACTGTAGTTATATGTAGGCCTTCAGATTTTCTGGTGCTGGCAATTAGAGAAGACAAGACTCTACAAATGGCTGTAGAAACAACACCAGAACAATGATAATATCAATGGACATATTTTTTAATTTAATTTATTATTTTACATGTCGATCCCAGTTCCCTCTCCCTCCCTCCCTCCCTTCTCCCCTCCCTCCCTTTTACCCTCTCTGTCCCCTCACATGCACCCTGACTACCCTCCCCTCCCATACCCCCACCCCAGTTCCACATGTAGGGCAATCCCATCCAGGTGGGGGTCATGTAGATCTGACAGGTCATTTGAAGTATGGACTAGAACTTCTCTCCTGTCTCTAGGTTAAGGCAGTTATCCCTTCATGGGGGATATGTTCGCAAGGTCCTTTTGTGTACCAGAGATGCATCCTGGTTCCACTGTCTGAGGTCCCTTAGACTGCTCAGTCCTTATTGATGTGGAAGGGAAACAATATTCCTTGCCCCACTGCTGCTCAAGGTCCTGCCTGCTTTATGTGCTGTATTGGATGGAGGGGGTAACCAGAGTGAACTCCTAACATTGAAAACTCTGTTTTTGTATTGGATTGGGTCCCTTGTTGATTTTGGGACTCAGAGTTTGGGCACAACAAAACCACATATACACCACCACAAAAAATGACTCATCTGGATTTGTGTATGTCTGTGTGTAACAATAATAATAACAATACTAATAATGAAAAAGAAACTACCAGCTTGAGAACTTGAGTGGGCATGTGAGAATAGAAGGGTTGCAGGGAGGGGCTGGAGGGAAGAAAGGGAGGGAGAAAAACAATGTAATTCTATTTCAATTAAAAGTTATAAACACAAAAATTTGAGGAGGTCCATTTATATACAAGTGACAAAAGGCATCCCAGGGAGTGTGGGAGGAGCCTAGCCAATGTACTTGCAATACTATTGTGAGTTGCATTTATTTTGTGAAAGCAGGAATCTGGGGACAAGGGGGGAGCGGGGAGAGCTGAAAAGTTTCTCTAGAGCAAGGTCTGGCAGACTTTATTCCAAAGGCCCAAATAAAATATTTGACATTTGTTAGCCCCAGAGTCTTTGTTTCAGTGACTCAGCTCAGAAGCTGTAGCAGAGGCAGTTATAGATAATAGGTAAATGAGTGAGTGTGGCTGTGTTCCAGCATAATTTTATTTATGAAAACAGCTAGAAGAGGCCTGAAATTGGTCCTTAGGCCACAGTTTGCCAGTTGTTGCTCTAGACTGGCACTCACATTGATTTTCCTTTTATCTATTCCCTGACTGCTGCAAAACAAAGAAGGTAATCATTAGTACCACTGTCTATCAAGTGGATGACTATGATGTGATGCATCTTAAATTATTCTGTACCCCCTGCCTCCAATATTTCTGGTGTTCTGGCCATTACTCCCAGAGCTGCATGGATAATCAACCTGATGCATGACTCATCTCTTTTCACTCCTCTTGGAAATATTTAACCCTCACTTATCTGAATAACAACAACAAAAAAGACTCATTACCACAGCATTGGGGAGTTTCAATGAATAATCCATGAATTTCCTGTATACCTGTTTTTCATATTAATTTATTGTAGGGTAACTTTTTACATATTCATGAAGTACAACAGGATGTTTTGACATGTTTATACATTGTAAAATGTCTAATAGAAATTAATTGACATATGCATTAACATATATTTATCACATTTTTGGTGAAAATATTACAAATCTACACACTCAACTGACCATATGGATCAGTGTGGGCTTGGATTTTATCTACAAACATGATCTTCTAAGCATTGCAGCAAGCCCCAGGTTATTTACAGGTCTGATTTACCATAGGCTCCTTTTATTCTTCCAGTAGTACTTGTCTTTCTATGTTTAGTTTATTTCAGTTCCCACAATGATCTCTGATTTTATCACCCCTTTGTACCTGAATACTACCCCATTGTTATATATGTTTATATACACCACACTTTATGTTTCTTGGCTACTGCACATAGTGCTGCAATGAGCATAGGAGTTCAGATGGTTCTCTGATATACTGATTTCATTTGGTGGGGGCTGGTACCTATTATCTATGGCTTTACCCAGTAGAGGAGTTGCTGGATCTCACTGTAATTCTGGTTTTAGTTTTTGAGCAGTCTGTTTTCCACAGTGGCTGGTAAGAATTCTCTAGTTCTTCAAATCCCCACTGAAAAATTTCTGTACCCTGATATTAAGTATCTCCACTAATGTAATAAATCTGACCAGGCTGAATTAATAAGTCCAAGTTTAATCTGAGCAAAGCATCCCTGAGTGGTCCCAGGGGAAGAAGAGAAAACCACAAGGGGAAAGCTGAAGAGGGCACTTTAACTGCAGATGATGGGCTTTGGGGGGGGCATCTGGAATGGGAGGAGTCGGGCTGGGTGGAGCTTCCCAACACCCACCAACACTTATTTATAATAACCAGCTTACCACATGCTGGATACTATTTCATTGTGCTTTTACTTTGCATTTCTTTTCTGATTAGTGATGTTGAAAAATTTCCTTTTAAATACATGCTGCACATGTATGTATGTATGAGAAACACATTTTCAGGTTCTTTATAAAACTTGTTTTCTTGCTATTAAGTCATTTAGATTTTGAAAATATATTTCAAACATTCATGACTATCAGCTATGCTCACAGTCTGTTATTCTGTGTGCTACATTCACTATATTTGTAGCACACCGAGGACAGGTGGTAAGTCTTTTTGTTTTATCATTTACAGTGACTTGCATATGAAGACATTCAGTCAATAGAGCTTTCAGATGAAGACTGAATTCAGTGATTATTAATGATTTAAGTGACATCATATTTCTCATTTTTCTTTTTATAGGCAAGAGCTGTTTTGGCAAAAGTTGGCTATCCAGAGTTTATAATGAATGATACTCATGTTAATGAAGACCTCAAGGCAGTAAGTGCTAAATTTACTGTATTTTTTTGGGGGGGGGGCAGGTTTTACTGGCCTTATGCCTATTAACTAACCCAAGTCCAAGCAATTAAACCTGGTGGTGCCAGAAAGTACCAACTTTTGATTAATTCCTTGGCTATATATGAGCCTGAGTTTGCCAGGCCTATTGCAAGATTTAGTGCACATTCCAAATACAGGAAGTCTCAGAAAGCTGAGTAGACATCATAAAGCAAATGGAAATAATTCACTAAATTATTTTACAGTTAGCAGGCATGTTCTAATGGTGAATGTACCATGTTTGTTGTTAATTTTTTTTTTATTTTCTTCATTCATATTAAATGGATAGACATAAATCTGCCTGTTGAGAGTTAACTTCATTAAACTTTATGACTGTTTTGGCAAATTAAATGCATATATATATTACTCTATAATTTATTATGCATTGGACTGTATATTGGCAGTAGGTTACTGATGAGGAATGGTAATAATTCTTTTTTATTCTAGTTGTTTTGAGATACATATTTTTCATTATAGCCCTTTCTAATCATGACTACTGCTATTTGTTTCAATAAATAGTTCAGAGGACATTTTTTTTTTCTTCACAGAAAAGCTCTGTTTTCACAATTCACTGAGTTTCTTTTTTAAAAAAATGTTTATTTTATGCATATGGGTGTTTTGTCTGCATGTGTGTCTGGAGTTACAGATGGCTATGAGCTGCCCAATGTAGGTGTTATGAATCAAACCCAGGTTGTCTAGAAGAACATCTAGGGCTCTTAACCCCTGAGCCATCTCTCCATCTCCAGCAGTGGACTTTTTAAAAAAGTAATCTTGAAACGCTTTCAATAACTATGACTCATAGGTCTAACTCTTTGTGCTGAAATTGTAATTTGATATGTGGCCTGTCTGTAAGTAGTGCTAGCTCTGTGATTAACTGTTATAATTTTGTAAGACCCTTTTCATATGCAATAAAGCCTGAATTTCAAAATAAATTTCAGTCAAAAGAAGGTGTTACTTTTGATGATTAAATTGAACATTATTTCTACTCATATGTGCCCCTATGTGCCCAGGAGTGATTTGGTGCTTTTGAACAGGCTTGGTATTAACTTATCCTCAGATGAAAATAATATTTATCATATCTCAAATTTAGTCTGAAAGAATTTCACCTCATATTCTGTTTATATCCATTAGATAACAATAATTTTGAAAGCATTAAAAGATCAAGTATTTCATACCATTTATTGCATGTCAAAAACGGAAATGTGGAAGTTATGAAAATACTCAGCCTGATTAATTTGAGGAACAAATTAAGGCTTACTTCTTTTTTTTTTTTAAAGTCTTTGTAATATATATTTGGAAAACTTTCAAAACATCTCAATGAATTGAGATAATAGATGTTTTAGTAAGGGATTTTATTGCTGTGAAGTGACACTATGACCATGGCAACTCTTATAAAGAGAACATTTAATTGAGGATGGCTTTCTTATAGTTTGAGAGGTTTAGTCAATAATGATTATGAAGGGGAATATGGCAGCGTGCAGGCAGACATGGTGTTGGAGATTGGAGTGCTACATTTTGCTGGTAACAGTAAGTTGACTGACTGTTACACTGAGTGAAGCCTGAGAAATGGGACCTCAAAGTCCGTCCACACAGTGACATGCTTCCTCCAACGAAACACACCCACTCCAATAAAGCCATACCTTGTGATAGTGCCATTCCTTTTGGGGACCATTTTCTTTCACCACACCATACCATTCCCTGCCTCCCAAAGGCTTATAGCCATATCATAATGCAAAAATGCATTCAGTCCAACTTCAAAAGTTTCCATACTCTATAACAGTGTTAAACTTGTTTCAAAGTTTAAAGTCCCTTCTGAGACACACATTGCAATCTCTTAGCTGTTATTCCCCTGTAAAGAAAAAGGTAGATCATATGTTTCTAACATATGATGGGATAGAGTATACATTGCCATTCCAAAATGCAGGAAAAGGAGCACAGCAAGAAAATACTGGACCACAGCAAGACCAAAAACCAGCTGGGCAAACTCCAAACTCTGCATCTCCATGTATGATGTCAAATGCTTTTCAGGACTCCACCTCCATTAAAATTTGTTGACTACAACACACTTCTTTCTCTTGGGATTGTTCCACTCACTTTCCATTAGCAGTACTACTCCGCAGGTATCCCACAACTCTGGCATCTTTAATACCTTGGGTTCTCCAAGACAATCCAGGCTGCAATTTAAAAGCTTCACACAATGGCCTTTCCACTGACACATGCCTGGCCTCAGAATTTATTCCATAATTCTTTTTCTCCTATCCTTAACTTTAAATCCAGAGCCACATGGCTGAAGCTGCTAAATTCTGTTGCTTACTGGGAATGCAACATGCCCCATTGTTCAATTACATAATCACCAGCTTTCTGTCCTTCATTGCCTAAGCTTGGGTTTGTTTGAACTTGCTATTTAAACCAGGCTGGCCTCAAACGCCTCTACCTTCTCAGTGCTGGGAATAGAGGTGTGCACCAAGCAGGCTCTAAACTTTTCTTTAATTCCATTCCACTATTTGGAAATTTAGCTGTGTGGGATCTTACTCTAAGGCCACCACTTCCTTTATTCCATTTCTTAATCTGTTCATCTCCTTGGACATAGGATTTAGCTCCTTTCTGCTTCCTGGTACTCTTTTTCTTCTTAAAATTTACATTTTGTAATTTATCCTGTTCAGCTTGCTCCTTTTCATTATAAACCTTCATTCAAGTTACCACTAAAACCACATGACAGAGTCTACACTAGGCTGTTTTGGGATTTCTTCTGCCATAGGAATTAATCTCAAATTCTTCACTTTAGTCTTTGGCAGACTCTTTGGACAAGGGCAAAAGGCAGTCACTCTCTTCACCAAAGTATCGTAAGAATGATTTGTAGGCAACATACTAGAATTCTTCTCTGAAACCTTGAGATCCAGCTCCTGACATCACAACCACTGCAACTCTTATAAAGAAAACATTTAAGTGAAAGTGGTTTGCTTACAATTTCAGAGGTTCAGTCCATTATGATCATGAAAGGGAGCATGGCAGTGTTCAGGCAGGTGTGATGCTGAAGCTGGAAGTGCTACATCTTACCTGCAACGGGAAGTCAACTGACTGTCACACTGAGTAAAGTTTAAAAGTTCTCAAAGCCTGCTCCCACAGTGACATACTTACTCCAACAAAATCACACCTACTCCAGTAAAGCCATACCCTCTAATAGTGTCATTCCCTTTGGGGGCCATTTTCTCTCAAACCATCACAATAAAACACATTGAAACAGACTGATACATTTTTTTGTTGTTGTTTTTATGATCCTAATTTTTTTGCTAGGTAATAAAATCATTGTCCCCTTATGGAGGAGGGAATCTTTCAACATTTGGCTTCAAAATATGGCCTTCCCTAAACTGATGGTATTGTTGTAGAAGAAAGTAGTTATGCTTATAGCATCTTACTCCTCAGATACTTTATCTTCTACACTGTCTTAATGATTCTGAACATCTTATTATTATGATAATTAAATATTAAAACACTTGACACACTAATATCCATTATGTTGTTCCTGTCTTTGCTGATCCTTAGAGTCAATGAATTTATGAGAGTCTTGGAGAGAAGGATGTAAAGAATGAAAGAATTTGAGTGATCTTTTCAGTGTCATGTAGAATATTGGATTCAGGGCTGGAGTCTGGGACCAGAAAGCACTGGCTTCAATCAGAGAAGGGGACTTCAGGGACATCTGATCAGGAATCTGTGCTGGAAGGACAGAGGAGTCAATTGGGAGACTTAATGAGGGGTGTTTAGTAGGGTAATAGGGGGGAAGGAAAGCAGCTGAAGGGAGGGAATGTTCTCTTGGGATTAACATTATTTGATCTTGTGCAGGCTTTACTTACATTCCCTTTGGCTATTTGGGTATTTTTTGATGTGTGTGAATTTTAAATTATATCTTTTATTATTTAAAATAATATTTAAATTTAAATATATTTTGATCATATTCTGCCCTCTAAGTCTTTCCATATCATCTCCTTTCCACCCGACTTTTAAGTTCTTTCTCAAAAACCAAATAGGAACCCCATATAACAACACCCCCAAACCAAAAAAACAAAACAATACCCCAAAAGAAAAAAAGCCAAAAACCAAAACAGAACCCCTCAAAGTGTAACTAAATAAAAGTGTGCGTGTGTATGCGCACATCACACACACACACACACACACACACACACACACACACACACACACACAGTGTGTGGTTTCTATACTATGTTGGTCAACACCTCTTGAATATGACACTAGCCCTGGAATGATTGATATACTCAGTGTCAAACCATTAGAGAAATCTGATGTTCCTTCTCCCAGCAGGTATAAATGACATTTTAGTAGTTTGCCCTAGTTGGTAGTTTTTCATTAATTCATTTCTTAGTTTTGAAAATTTAAGTTAAAACAAAAATATTACATCAGAGTTAGATAAGATAAACCAACAGAAACAAGAGCCCAAGAGGAGACTCACTCATCCACACACTCAGGAACCTCATAAAAACACTGAACAGGAAGCCTTAATATAAGCACACAGGGTCTAGTGCAGACCTGTGCAGGCCTTGTGTGTGCTTAAGTCTGTGGTGATATTGTGTTTGTGATCTAACAAATAAAGCTCTTCTGAAGATCAGAGTGCAAAGCCAGCCATACCAGTTAGCCATAGAGGCTGGGCAGTGGTACTACACACCTTTAACCCCAGGACTCTAGAGACAGAGGCAGAGGGCCTTCTGTGAGTTCAAGCCTACCCTGGGGTACATGGAATTGACCCAATCTAAAAGAGACATGGAGCCCACAGAAGTGATGTGGCTGTGGGGAGAGAAGAATATAAGGAGAAGACAAGAGTGAGGAACAGTGCAATCTAGGCAGTCTGAGGATGCAGTCTGAGGACACGATTGCCCCTTTGGTCTGAGCATTGATAGAAATAAGAACTCTCTGATGGCTGGCTGTTTTGCTTC